TCACTAAACTGTTTTTACTGTATTTTGTAAAGAGTGCTCTCTTTAATATTTTTATTACTATTTTTAATGTGCGATGAATTCCTCTCAATATTCTGCTGTTACCTGGTCCCATGATGAGGTAATTTTTTTCGCTTACTCGTTGATGAATGAGTACAGAATGAGCTAGATCAGTCAATGAGGAATGAGAAAGTTTTCCGCTGCATCTCTGAGGAAAAGGCTTCGGCCGCTACATCGAAACTATTGTTTAGTTAAAAAAATAATGACGTCAGGTACAGCTTCGATGCCGCCCTCAGTTATGCAAACACAACTGGGCTGCAGTTCGGGTGGAACCGGACCGAAGCGTGCCGGTCCGTTCCGTGCCGGGCCTTGCAGTGCGAAAGGGGCTTAACTACTATTAATTTGAATGTGTTTTAATTTGAATTTGGCTCGTTTTTCGCTATTTTGCTTCACTATGGTTACTCGAAATGCCTACAAAAGTAATAACACCGTCTTGATCAATATATATTGGTAATTTTTGATATTACTTTTTTTTTGATTCGCTGAAACAAAAACAGAAAATGAAAAAAATGTTATAGGGTAGGTGCAATTTCATTACAAAGCTGTAATATTGACCATATATTTGTGAAGTTTATGAAGTAAATTTGTGCACTTCATTATTGTTTTTAATTTGCTAATTGGTATCATCATTCCACTGTGCACTCATTTTGTCCCAAATGAGTGCATGTAAACTGTTCAATAGGTTGTAGTAATTTTTAAACATCTTTCAGAAACTGTAGTAATACTCAATATTTGTTAATACATTTCAAAGGTAAAATCCCTTCCTTGTTTGACTTTGAAATTGGTTTTCACATACATAGCGTTTATCCGTATCAAAGCTATTCCCTAACTTGTCCTCTAGATGTCAGTACAGGACTTGAGAAAAAGTTTCCATTAATTCATTTTTTTAAAATTCCACTTTAAATAAGAAAACTTTTACTGTGGTGCTGCTCTCTTTATCTAGTTTGGTGTTGTTCCACACAAAAATGTTAAAATTTGAACTTGCAAGGAAAGTTTTCTGCCTGCACAGATTATATCTTGGCCTACATTAAACCTTTAGGCTTTGGTGTCAGTTTTTCATCCCAACCCAATGCAATCCCCAAACACATCTGCTCCATCTTTTTTGTTTGACCGTTTCTTCCACCTTTCTCTTTTTCTTGTCCCACACACAGACACAGACGTGACCACCACGGCTCTCCGTGGGAGAGTTCCGCTGTGCTCTGTAGATTGGATGTCCCAGGGTGATAAACTATTGATACGAAGCTCAGGTAACGCACCTGATATCTGAGGGGGTTGTTAGGGTGAAGGAGGGGTAGAAGGCAAGGGGAAAGACAATAGCATTGTAGGAGGAATAAAACAGTAAGAGGGGGGAAAAATTGTGTGAAGCACATCATGGAGTCACATCTGCTGAGAGTTCCCATACGGGGCCTTTTTCCACTGGAGTACCAAGTGAATGCTGAAACACGTTGACCAATAGCTAGGCAGCATTATGTGATGACTCATGGCACTGCTGAGGAACTGGGATAGAGAGGACAGCAAATACATCGAAAGGGATGAGCAGCCTGCGGCTGTGTGTGTGTGTGGCAGTTAACAAATGGATTACTGTTGGAGAAGAGACCTGTATTTGTGTCTTAACTACACACATCATGGCCCTAGTCTCAAAGGCACCCAACCTCCCCTCGCTGCTCCCCCGAAATTGCTCTGCTGTCCCCTTTGTTGTACTGCTGCTTGCCTACAAGTATTTGTCATGTAAACAGTGTGACAGTTAAATTTTAGTGTCAGCACTGTGACAAAGAACTCAGCCTTTAGATTTGTCATCTTCACCTCCTTTCTGCCTGATAAGCATCTTTCCTTTACTTCACTTTTCCTGCAGGTGGGGAGTTAACCCTGTCCTCCCATTTCTTGTAAATACTGCATCAAGGTTTGGTGTGCAATTCTCCTGATATAATACACTTGAGCAAAAATAATGCAGAATTTTCACAAAAACTTAAAACGAGAATGTTCAGCATTATCCTTTTTATTTTTTACTATAGAAGAGCCAAACTACTTTTTACTCCTTCCACAATTATATATTGTGAAAGGAGTGAAATTAAATTTTATTTATCACGTTTAAGGGGACTGAGTTACGTCCCCTTAAACAAATGACAAGTGCAAAATCAGTTTACTAAAGAGGAAGTACAACGCTTCAGAATAATACATGCAGATGAACAGTTTTGAAAGTATTTTTAAATAAATTGTGAAAGAATTTCTGCAAAGTCCTGACACATGGCAGAAACAAAATCGCTCAAATATTTGGGGCTTCTCTAGTGTGAATTACTGCCTTAATGTGCAGCTGCATGGAGGCAATCAGTCTGTGATAATGCTGAGTGTTGAGGAAGACTAAGCCGCTTTACTGGTCTCCAGCCCATCTTTATTGTTGGGTGGGGTATCATCATCTTACTCTTAATAATACTTCATAGATTCTTTGTGTGTCTTAGGTCAAACAAGCTTGGTAGCCTGAGGCCCATTCAAATACAGTGACCATTAAATCAGGTATTGGGGCTTTTGGTGGTCCAGTTGGAAAATTAAATCAGCATCTCTCCAAAAACTTGTCAGAGGAACAGGTGAAAGGCTCTATAATTTCCTGGATGCCATTTGTACTGACTGCAAACTTGAGAAAACACAGTGAGCCAACTTTAGGAGGCGGCATGGCGTACAGCAAGAAAAAAAAACATCATTGTAGACAATGTTCAAATTACGTCTGTTTGTAGAGGCTCTTGAAGCAATAATTTCAGCCCAAGTCTAAGCCTTGTGAATCTCAGTATGACTCACGAATGAGGTTTTCTTTAACAATTTTCTCAAATATGCTGTTATCATTGTTACTTTTGCACATTTTTTTTACCACATTTTTTCCTTCCACCTAATGTTTCATTAATGTGTTTGCATACAGCACACTTTGAACATCCAGCTTATTTAGCAAAGATCTTTTGTGTCATTCTGTCTTAAAATTACTTCTTTTGTCTTATGCATCAAATATTAACTGAATTTTGGAATTTTATTAGCTGTAAGCCTTAGTTATCTAAGACATCAGATATATATCTTTCCACTTGTTTCTTTAAATGTGCAAGAGCTCTCTATTTCTCTATTGATTTTGTACCACCAAAAAAAAAACAAGAAAAAATACAGAAAAAAATGCATGACATGTATGCTTTTCTTTTATAAGGTATGACCAAGACCTTTTTGGCGCTTTAGTTCTACAATGATTTGCAGATACAATTTCTGCAAAAATCAGACTACTTATTTTGATTTATTAAAATGTATTTTATTGCTGAGCAGGTATATAATAATAATAATAATAATAAGAAGAAGAAGAATAAGAATAATAATAATAAGAAGAATAAAACAAATTTTGATTGCACATGTGTACTTTCAGCTTGATCATTTTGGCTCGTGTGGCAAACAGCTTGGAACCCTAATTTAAATAATATAAGAGTTTCACTTTTTTAATTGAAATGATGAAAAAGTAAAATTTTCATTTTATTTTAAGTAATGAGAAGCACATGAATGCCAGTGCTGTTGGCGATAAATGGTTTGATCTGAAAATGACCATTTGTTAGACCGAACAAAAAGTGAATGAAAAAAAACACCCATAGTAAAAGATAAATCATAAGACTCAGGCCAAGTACTTTTGCATAGGACTTGCGTGTTTCTTGAACAACCTGTTTGATCCCAGTCGTGTGGCTCAGGTAGAAATGTAGCACTTTGGACCTCCTTTTCTTTCAAAGGAACTTGTGACCTTTAAGCTAATCCCAACTTCCAATATCAGCAGCCATGGACCGACTTGCAGAACAGCCTACCTGTGCGGGCTCTTACACCCAGCACTTATACCTGAATCACCCAATTACTCAGTCGGTGTTTGCTTTTTTTCCTTTTGCCACTCCCTTTGTTTCCATCTTGCAACACTAATAAGTCCCGCCTTCCACCCCCCTCCCCCTTGAAGGAAGAGAGCGAGTTTCACGCTTTCCTCTGTCGTATTCGATTCTCGGGACCCATTTAAACTTCAGCTAATAGTTTTTTTTTCCCCACCCAAAGTGGGTTTTAACACTTGAAACTCCGCACAGTAAATTCGGGACTGCAATTTTACCTCTCCTTTCCTTCTCCTTACCCGAAAGTCTTAAAGGTAAGGCCAATGAAAATGCGTTTTACAACAGGTGTACAGCACAATTTGCCTTTAGGTAACACAGCCAAACTATTCGCCCCATTCTTCTTCTTACATGCTACGTTTAATTTAAGTAGTTATTTTGTCATGAGTGAGGAAAACTTTACTTTGTTCCTATGGCGTATTTGTCAGTTTGTTTATTTTATTTATTTAAATTGCGTTACAGTCAAATCCTTATTGCAGACTCTCAGGTGTAGCCGGGATCCAGTGTTGCGTTCAGGAACTTTGCGAATCATCAGTACTCGAAATTTACCTATCAGCGATTATCTAGTGCTTTTGTTTTTGTTTTTGTTTTTGTGTTGTTCTTTTCCTCGTTTACCCGTAAAGTCTTATGTTTGAGTCCATAAGGATCACTGTCTTAAACATTGGTTTATAGTTTGTAATCTTGCTGTGTATGTAAAAATCCGTTTTACCTGACGTAAAAAAATATTTTATGTCAGGTGAAGTGCCTTTACTTGACATAAAGGTAACTTAATCAGGGATAATTGAAATTGTGTGAAATTTTTCATGAATGACACATGAGTTTTCTAACAGCTTTTGCCTAAATGTCTGGATTGCTAGTTTTGCCACTGCGTGTATTCGTTTAATGTTGATGTTCGAACGTAACAAACTGATCGTAAACGCAGCATTTTTTACGTCCTACAGTCATCGGTAATACTTTCAAAACTACGATAGTGATCACCTGATGGTACAAAGTGTTGTTTTCCGTCTAGCTGGCCTATGGGTGTGTTAACAACATTTTTTTAACTTACAACGAGAAGCGCATGTCAAAGAAATGAAACGGACACTATAAGTATTTCAAACAATACTAAAATCAGGGTTAAGAAACTGTGTTTTAAAAAAAATCGTTTAATTTATGGCCTTTGATTTACATTATAACCAGCTAAAATGTGAACATAACAAAAATTATATGCCTTTTACAACATAGAATATAGCAAAAAACATTTGAGCAAGACATTTCTGCTTGAATTATTTTTTAGGTAAAATGTTACAGCTAGATCCTGAGATTAGGATACAAATTCCTTCCAAATTTTTTCACTCAACAAGTGATCTTTAATGAATAATCAACCAGTTTCAATGGCTCGACTAAATGCCACACAACTGACACATATCAGACCTCTTTATTCAGTCCAAAGGTCACATTCATTACTATAGAGCATGACATTTTTATCATTAAAATCTGTGACAAAGAACAATGCACTACAACTACCTATATTATTTTTCAAAGGAAACATTATAGTTAAATCCCAACAGTAAGATATACATTATTTACCATTTCTGATGGAACCCAGTCTTTGCACATGCTAATTAGGCATGTTCTCACATAATAAATTTATTGGATTTTAGTACAGAAGTACATGAAAACATGATTAACAAACTAGTTGGTTGATTAAAAACAATCTATTCATCTTCATGTAAGTCAAAATTGATTCTGCGAAGCCAAAATCTCAAAAATAAGCACCCAGCTTTTATTAACTTGATTAAAAAAAATACAACTTATATTCTCAGTTTATTCATGTTGTCATGATGAATTCTTGAAAGTGCAACCCGCAGTCACAGATAAAACATTGTTTTTGTGGGAATGATGGAGCTAGTAATCGTCACTCAAGCAACTTGATAAAAATTGTCTGCTGCTGATGCTTTAAATTACCTACTAACTTTCTCTTGGTAGACAAGACACAACATTTCTATGTTCAGCATAGCTCTTTGGAAGTCGCCAATGTATGGTTGGTGTAAATGTCTTGACTGCCTCTAATGACTGAGGTATTTCAAAAGTTTTGCCATAATTACTTAAAAAAGTGTTACTTTCAGTCTGCCTGGCTTTAAATGTCCAATTCGAGCAGGAATTGGAGTAAGCTATTCATGCTAGAGTAAAATGTGTAATCCACCTGCTTACTGTGAGAAGACTTTTATCCTCTTGTTATTATTTCAACAATAAAAAATGTCTGTCTCAAGAGTCCTCACAAAGCCAATAATTATTTGTGATGATATGCGTTAAATTCAGCTTGACAGGACGTTGACACAGGTATAAGATGCTTTTGATATGACGACCTATAGTAAAAACAGCACAGTGTCACAGTAATGATAGATGGATTATTAAGAAAGATGTGTAACTTGATCCACTTGCCTTGCTTTTTCCAACAACTTGCCAGTCAGCTTTTAGATTGTAGTTTTGCAACTGTGTTACCCTAATAAGAATAATGGATGGTGGTCCTTTAGCTTCCACGATGTAACCTGAAAGATCGTCAAGCAGCTATGTTTCACTTGTGGAGAAAACATGCATCAGTTTGCTGTCATCCTGCTAATCGGCAGCATACAGCAATAAATGAATAAATTAAAAAAACAAAAGTTGGTCTCTCTGGGACATTCACTATCACCTCCCTGAAAGAAGATTAGCATGTTGGACAATGTTGGTAGTTTGGAAACCACAACCTTCTTAAAAACCTGTCTACCTCGGTACTGACCCGCACCTAACCCTGACTGATGGAACTGCTGCAGATGAGCACATGAAAGATTGGTTTTGTGGTGGAAGAGATCAGGGAAATTAGTAATGTGCACCTTCTTCCTGTGTGCCTAATGCCAGCTTGATTGTATTCTAAAATAATTTTGGTTATTTTGCCAACTCTGACCTGGGTCACACATTGACTGATTCAGGTATGTGTTAATTTAACACAGTAACAAAACTATGTTAATTTAGCTACATGCAGTCTGCTTATAGCAATACGGCAACTTTTTAATCTTCCATTGGCCTCTGACCTGAAAAACAGTTTGTGACCCAATGTTTTAAACTATTTAACTCTTATCCCTTAATCATCAAGCCACCATTGGGGTTATCGATGTTACAAGTGATGCATCTTGGGCAATACCTGTTGAACTAGTTTTTGTATTTTGATGGCTGTAAATTAGCAAAAAGTATATAAGGTAAGGACAGTAGATTTACATGAGTGGACTCCTGCAGCTAAATGTCCAGTAGCTTCTTTCTAGTGCTGTTGTCTATCTTTGGACAACTTTAATATTTACAGGTGTTATTTAACCATATGCATAAGTTGACCTGTGGTTGTCTGTCAAATGCTGATGAAGCTTTAAAAGATAAGGGCTTGCTGAGAGATCATGTTGCCATTATAAACAGCATCTCATGTGCCGTGGCCTGGAAAAGTCAGGTGATTTTTCTTTCCACTTCCATTCTGTTTTCAAAACTATTGAAGATGTTGACTGCTCTGCTGTCTCCTCGTCTTGCTGTTGAGAGTTTTGTAGTACAAGTAATTGGACACACTGTCATATTGCTGACATATGTGCTGCCGGTGTTTTAAAAACTGACCCTTGGAATGATCTAACTTGCACTGGCAAGTTGATCATTTTTTTTTAGAAAGATTTTCATTATGCAGTCATACTTTGATTGCAAAGCTGACATGATTTCATTCTTATAACCCACTTTGTTTGTATGTGTGTGTACGTGTTTCTACGTACTGCGAAGACACGCCACACCTTCGATAAGTCCTGTTTAATTTTTTATTTATTTTTTTTAAACAGTACTGAAAAGATAGGAGCCTGCCACGTGTTTGAGATCTGACCTTCTCAGAACACACAAGTAAAATTCGCCTTTCGCTACTGTGGAAGCAGTTCTGCTCTAGATCAAGAAAACGTCATTTTTATGGGGTTTAATTATAGTATAACAAAACAGGTTATACATTTCTTTCTTTTGGTGTTGTAATAGATTTGCTTTTCATTGAGACAAAACAGAAAGTTGCAAGATGAGCCAAGTATTTCAATGGCTTAAATATTCACATGCATATTGTATGCGTGTCACACAGATTAGGCCTTTCTGTTGTACTGTTTGACCGATGTATGTCATGGAGCTAAGGCAGAAAAACAACACAATTAGGTGTCCTGTGGCTTTTTTTTCTCCTTGGTACAAAATACATTTTCTGACTGCAGGGTGCTTGTAGGGTATATTTTGTTTGCTGAAGCCAAACTGGTCATTAGTTACACAAAAACTGCCAATTACTGTGAGATTTTTCTGCTCTCTCTCTCCATCAGTGAATATGTCATTAGAGGGAGAACTTTTGCAGTAATTTTAAACAAGATTGTATGTTGCTAATGTTCTTACTGGTAATTTTCCTTTGTTTTATATATATATATATTTATATATATATATATATATATATATATATATATAGATTCTAATTGTTTAAACCCATAACTTTAACATACTTCCATTAAAGGAATAATGTTTAATGGTTACAGGTACATCTCTAACCCAGTAAATATTTCTTCCAAACTGTTGCAAAATTCCACAAAATTTCTTATCAAACGATCCCCTTCATCCACATGAAGCTGCCTCGGGGTAACTAGACCCGATTGTTAGTAATTTAAGTCATGACGCATCAGAGTCCTGGGTAGATGGCGACTGGTTTCTATAGTTACTGTCAACAGTCTGGACTTTTGAGTGCTTGTTGCGATATACTCTGGACAGTGCCAAACAAAATGGTGACCCGTCTTGAGTCCTCTTACGAGGAGCCACAGCTGTTTGCAGGGACGAGGCGCATACTGTGCACAAATAGACGACTTATTCACGTCATAGTTTACATACTACAAAATAGATATTTGGCTAGCAGAAAGGATAATTCTGTCATTTCATGTAGATACAGATAAATGCTCAAGCTAGCGGTAGCTCTTATACATCCAGTAATAAAATACAAAAGACTTGATATGTTACTGGACTGATGCAAAGAACTGATCATTAAACACTTTTGCTTTGGGTCTGAGTATTGCTGACACATCATCAGTCTCTCCAGAGATGCTTTAAAGAATATGCAAAGAGCCCTGTAACGCAGTGTACATATAAAACACAAACTGAATTATTATTATTTTTTTTTAAATAAATTAACAATGCTAAGCCTCGTGGGGGCACAAGTAAAGCCTGGTGGCTCGCCAGGCTTAGAATACACTGAAGGAAATCCTGGACTAAAACTAAGATAAAATGTAATTGGAAAATATTGATACATAGTTTTTAAATTTGTGTTTTTGTTTATTTGTTAGGTTTTAAATACTTACCTGAAAACTGTGGTGAGCATTTTTATTCCAGCAGCTTGAGTCAGTACTTTGTAGAAACATCCTTTGCTGCAGTTATAGATGCAGGTCTGTGGCGGCATGTTTCTACCAGTTTTGCACAACTACAGTCTAAAATTGTCACCAGTTCTTTACAAAATAAAAATAGCTAAGTCAGACTGGATGGAGATTTATCTATGAACAACAGTGTCTAAGTCTTGCCAAAGACGTTCAGTTAGATTAAGCTGTTCTATTGCTGGAAGATGAAATTTTGTTGCAACTTCTAACAAATTGCCCTGTACATCCTCCCATCCATTGAGTTTTCTCAAAAAATTATTTTCCATCATCCTGTTTCCATTTGGTGATGATGTGTTCAGGGACATGTTGATGTCATTTTGCATGTAGACCAAAAAGTTCAGCGATGGTCTCGGCTGACCAGAGTATCTTCTTCCACATTTGCCATTTTCCCTACGTGACTTAGTCCAGCCTAGAACACATAACTTCCTGAGGTTTTCTTTCTTCACTGATTTTCTTCTTTCTACTGTTCCCCAAGTCCCTTTTCTGTGAAGTGTACAATTAACACTTTTCCTCTCAGCTGTCTTCTACCTGAGCTGTGGCTCTCTAAAACTCTTCATGGACCTCTATCCTATCTCTGTGGTTAGTGCTCTCCCTCGAAGGCCATATCTGGGTACGTTGTACCATATTCTTTGCATTTTTAAATTTTGCTATCTAATGTTACATGCTATCTAATGTTTAAGCATCTTCTGAATGCAAATTATCACTTTTGGATTTTGTTTTGGGTGTATCAGAGTACAGGGGGTTGAATTCATATTCATGTTGCATGTTTCATTTTCATTTCTCTCATCAAATGGCTTTTTTTTTTCTTTCTGGTCCATCACATAAAATTCAAATAAAATAAATTGAAGTGCATTGTTTCAACATGACAAAATCCTAAAAGGTAACTGCAGGAAACTGTCAGTAGTTTTACATTAATAATTTGTTTTTCATTTAGTTTTAGCTTTCTACTGTGTATGAATCAATGCTACATTGAAACTTTTGACTCACAGTTACAGAATGTCTCTGCAGCATGATTATTTCTAACAGAATGCTCCCCCGCCTTTGGTAGAAATCGCTCTCATGAGAAAGGACTAGATGACCTGTGTATAGAGACAAAACTTGCTTTTTCTTTTTATCTTTCCCTCCCCTGCTAATAAAAGACGAGCTCTAACTGATTGTTTTCAGAATGCATGGTGAGCGAAGCGGTTCGCTGTGTCTTCTCCTTTTGCAAAAAAGCTTTGTTGAAAACTAATAAATGTCTGTGGTTCTTTTTATGTAGAACCACAGACCTACTCATGTGATGTTTTTTTTTTCTTTTTTTCTTTCCACTTTTATGCTTAAATGTCAGCATGTTGTCTAAGGTGAAGCAACCTGTAAAAAGAGAGCATACAGCGGCGTTTAAAATAACCAACATAACGTGGTTAATCATAGGTGGTTAATCATTAATATAAATGAGAGCCACAAGGAATGAAAGTGGGCCTATAGGAGCAGTGGCATGATAAAGGCTCTTTGTGGTTGTGTTTGTGAATAGAGCGGCCGGAGGTTTAACTGGAGTGACGTTGGTACTACCCACACCATGTCAGCGATGGCCCTGCTCACACTGAAGGGATTTAATCCAACGACGTCAAACCAAAACAGAAGCTTAAAAGACATAAAAGCTGCACAAATCTAAATGTTGAGTCTGTTTGGAAGCAGTTGTTCCATTTTTATTTTCCAAGAACTATATTTGATTCGACACTTGTTTTTTTTTTTTTTTGTTAAATCGGCCAACGGAGCCGATGATCAGCAAGCTGACAGGAAAACCTTTGATTATTGAGGGAGGTCAAGTAAATGAAATCTGTCTAAAGGAAAAACGACTAGATGAATGCTGACACATCTTTTCTGTAAGGCTGAGATTTTTATGGAAGAAACAGAAAATGCATAATTTACATTGACAGCTTCTTTAACCTCACCCTTTAAATGATTAGATAAAGATGAGATGTTTTTTTCTCACCCTCGGTAGTCTACCTGTAAACTTAGCATTATTTATTAGGCTGCACAATCATTTACAGACCCCCAATCAACATCCTCTAGTTAGACGTATTGTGTTTATACTGTTAAGGTGCCCTTTAGCCAGTGTTGCTGGCCTAGCTGTGTTCATCAGACTGTGCGAGTTGTTCTTTTATGTCAGTGTACCTCATGTCAGGCTTTCTTTTACCTAGTTCATTCCTTCTCCACCGCTTTTGTGGAAAAACGGTGGAAAATGTATTCCTGCTGTTGTTTATCATAGAACATTTATTTAGCGGACAAAAGATTTCCAGGTTCTTCCACAGACCTTTCTGCTGCTCATGGCAAAGATGTTCTATAGGGTTTATTTGATGACCATTGAGGCTGATTTTGTAGTCTCTCCTGTGGGGATTTGAGCAGGTTTTGGATCATGCGCCTGCAGAAATGCCAAATGACAACATGTTTACAGTTTGAGCTAAAATACCTGTGGTGTTTAGCAAACTCCACACATTTATGTTTGTATTTTGTAGGAAATAAGGAGAGTTGTTTCAGTCAAAATGAAATCATACTAGTGTTTATATTGAGGCACGTATTTTGTAAAGCAACTTTATGTATTTCATGAACTTATTTATTTTTTTAAACTCCATTTTAATTTCTGGTTCTTTTTATGCGACATATTTTTATATTCAAACAAAGGGGCAGAGTTTCCTCTGTGGGGCTGGGTTTGGTCAGAGTGAAGCAAACGTCAACATCTTCATGAGGGTGTAGCGTGTTCTCAGGCAGATTGCTCAAGTTATATTAGGGCTTCAACTGACGTACCGTACAGGCCAATGTAAGAGGCGGAATCTCTTTGGAGTATAGGAACTTGTCTCCGTTTATTTATAAGCTCTTGACAACCTGAAGGGACTGATAAGAACACATGAACAAACGATAATTACCCAGCTCCAAATGGAATGCAAGGCCTGTCTTGCCCACATGACACCTGGCATGCTGATGTGGCAGAAGCGAATAAAAATCGGATGTTAAATGATGTCTCTCAGTTTCATTAGCAAACCAGCACACCATCTTCAAGTTCTCATGTTGCCATTGTCATGTTACCCGTTAAGCAATTTTTCTGACTGGTTACATGAACCCAATTGATTCATGATATGGCGCTGGACAAACCGGGCATAGGGGAGGGGAACACGGTGCCATGACTGGCCGTTAAGGTTGGAGGGACTGGTTGTTCAAAACGGATGTGAATTCACTTGGTCAAGTTCTGCACCACCAGACCTGCTCCAAATAGAAAAAACTCTACTGCCTTCCCCCTGAATATAGGAATGTGAGCTGAAAAGAGCCTGAAATCAAAACAGTTAAAAAAATAAAAGTCCATGAAATATGTAAAATAGCTTTAGAAAATAAGTCTCCCAAATAAAACACCATTGTGGAATGGATAAACCTCAAAATGTATGCATAAATCCTGAAATAAATGAATAATTCCTGCTCAGAGACCGTTAATTGGTTTATTCCGATTTTTCAAGGAAATACTGATTTTGTTTATTTATGATGAGCATTGTTCTATTGTTTGTGATTAATGCATTTTTTGTATTTTTCTAAATTTAAATTTTGTATGACATCATCTTAGATACTACACCGCCATGCAAGATAAATTGCATAGTGCAGTAGATAATTTCTGTTCGTTTCTCCACTTAAAAAGACTAGAAATTTTATGTGGTACATTATTTTTAAGGATTTCTTTTTCTGCCAATTTTATGTTCAACATTGCTAACATATAATCTATTTTTTTTATCATCTTTATAGCCATGTTGCTGCCATCGTCTCTGCTGCTCATTCTCAGCTTCCTCACCTGGAGTCCCAGTGCAACACGGGCCGGTAAAATCATCGTGGTCCCACCCATTATGTTCGAATCGCACCTCTACATCTTCAAAACGCTGGCGACGGCACTACACCCAGAGGGCCACGAGACACATTTTCTAGTTTCAGAGGGCCGTGAGGTCCCGCCCTCTCCTCACTACCATTTGCAGCGCTATCCAGGGATCTTTAACAGCACAACAGCTGACAACTTCCTCCAGTCCAAAGTCAGCAACATCTTCTCAGGCCGCTTGACATTTCTCGAACTGTTCGACATCCTTGACCACTACTCTCAGAACTGCGATGCTGTTGTCGGCAATGGTGAAGTAATGAACCGCCTGAAGGAGGCCAAGTTCGACCTGCTGCTGGTGGACCCCAATGAAATGTGCGGTTTCGTCATTGCTCATATCTTGGGCGTGCAATATGCTGTTTTCAGCACAGGCTTGTGGTACCCTGCAGAAGTCGGAGCGCCGGCGCCGTTGTCGTACGTGCCAGAATTCAACTCGCTGCTGACAGACCGCATGTCCTTAATGCAGAGAATTGCCAACACGGGCGTCTACCTGGCACAGCGGTTTGGAGTCCATTACATTGTGTTACCAAAATATGACCGGATTATGAAGAAGCATGGAGTAAAGCCTTACGCGGCCATGGCCGACTTGGTGCAGGGGAGTAGGCTGTGGATGCTGTGCACTGATATGGCTCTGGAGTTCCCAAGGCCCACCCTCCCTCATGTCGTCTACATCGGAGGCATCCTCACAAAACCCCCGAGCCCACTACCACAGGTCAGTGCAAAGATGCATGTTTATGGTGTGAAAAATCTATTTGCCCCATGAAGATTTTCTCAGTTTTGCTTTTTCGACATACATTTACAGATCATTAAACGAATAATAATATCAAAGAAAAATCTAGAAACTGATTTTGCCGTACTTCTTGCCGTCATGCCTTTTCATGGGGGAAATTTGTCCCGCTGTTCTTTGCAGAGCTCTCTTATTCGTGATTACTGCTTAATCATTAACACTTCTCTTAACTGAGGCAAGTGACATCCGAAATTATAAATACCATTCTAGGTTCTTTTATGTAATTCTGGATGAGTTGTTGATGAGATCTTGGATTAAGTTTGGTAGACTGTCCGCTTCTGGGAAGGTTCATCACTGTTTTATGATTCCTTGACTTCAGGATGATTGCCCTCAGTGTGTTTTGCTGGAGTCCAAAAGCACCACAAATGCCTTCAACTCCTTCAAATCATTTTCAGAATAATAGGATGTCAATGAGATTGTTTCTAATCGTTGATTGAGTTTCTGTAGATCAGGACATTATGTGCTGCTCTTTGAAAACTTTTAGCCTACTTTATATCTGTCACTCAGATTCTGTTAAACACTTTTCGTAGTACCACAGGTCAGGCAATAATCAGAAATTAAGCTCATCTGTCCAGAAAAAAAAAGAACCACTAATTAATGGTTTAACAAGCAGAGCAGTTATATTATCACATACGGTCACATTGGTGTCGATTGCTCTTTTCTCTTACAAGATGAAATTATAATTTGAAAACAACTTTACGCATTTTCTAATTTTAACCTTAATCTGGTACTAAATTGTGTTTGATCCTAATCTGTCAAGGGTCAAATACGTTTTACAGCAGCAAATAAAACATGGGCTAGAAAGTTACTGCTTTGAAAAAGCTGCAGTTTCTAAACCATTCTAATTTTTCATCATGCCATTGTTACAGTTCAAAGTTCCTTCATTAAAATGCCAGAGAAGGTTCTGCAACGAGTGGAGTTTGGAGCAAAGCTGCTCCACACTCGCGCCACTCTACTTGTTTCAGAGCACCACCACCCCATTCTGATTACACTGAAGACAGCCGACTGCAAGCTAAAGGGCAACACCAATTTCTGTTATTAATGTCTGTTGAAAGCTAAGTTAACCAGAGTGCAGTCAATTTAACTGAACCCTGATTATTGGCCACCCGATATTAATATTAAGCAGAGGCATTTTTATGATCCTGACAAATTTGGAGCTTATCTCAGTCCAGAAACAGGCACTTTTACAAGAACCGTATTATAGATTGTAAATAAGTTCACATTAACATAATATGGATCATACCGTTACCTGTACTATGATGGGTTTTGTATGTTAAACAAATAAGCATAATCTTTTTACTTGGCTGTTTTAATTGTGACTAAGAAAAGTGTGCTAATTTGCTAAAATAAATCATTAGAGCATTTTGTTATTGTTATAAAAAATATAATACTTGGAAACTGACTACCCATCCTCTGACAGATTGCTCACAGAGACTCATTCTGCCTCATAAATACGATCAGTTTATGTAAAGTTGCTGTTTAGCTCCGGTGATGAGCGTTCCACCCTTCACTTTTCATAGTGTGTGCCGTTTAGAGGCACACACCGTCCAAAATACAGTCATCGTGTTGGTATAAATTAATTCACTATACAGAACGAGACCGGTTCGATTTTCTGTCTAGTACACATCCAGTGATATGAGATGGTAAAAAAAACAAACTATAAACTATCTGACTTTCTTTGGCCTCAAGAAAGTCAGGCTTGTCGAAGGGAGATGGAAAAAGTAAGAAGTTTTAAAAAGTACATATTTGTACTTTTTAGGATTTCCACATTTCATCTTGTTGGCATTAATTAATTTGCTCTGTAAGAGAAGAAATTCTTGTTTTTGCAAATAAGCTTAATGAGTCAAGCTCGATAAATCCATCCAGCCTGACTGTGCGGAGGAAGCAACTTTGCTGTTGCTTAAGTAACAGCAGAGCTGCTTCCCCCACAGAATGCACTTTTTTTTCACCTCTCCCAGTCCCAGCTGGATTTCTCTGACTCAGGATAAAAGTCTTCTAATAATTATCTCAACGCTGAGGTCTGAAACTATCTGCAGAAGGAATTACTGTGGCTTTTTGGCTTTTACATAAAAGTGAATAGATCGATGTACACATTTAGTTTTAATATTGACCTAAATACAGTAATACTGTGGTATTTCTTTACAAGAATGTTATCCTGTGGGACTCTCATACTCTCATTCCACTACAACAGAAGTTGTAGAAATCTACATTTCTTACAGGTAGTGCCATAAATATCCAGAGCTAAGTGCTTGTAACCATGGCACTGAAATACAGTGCTGCATGAAGACTTGAGTGTAACTACGTCATTATGGAAATGTGTTGCCTCACATGGAAAATTTGTTTCTTGCTCCCTCATTGACTAAGGAGAGGTTTATTGTTTTGAAGTTGTACTTTGGAAAATACTTTTCTTTTCCTTCCCACATTGATTTTTTTTTCTCTAACTGATATTTCTTTAGCATCATCAGTCCCTGCTGGTTTTAGGTTACAAAATATATTTACAGTAAGGGCTAAGAACCTGTTCCTGTTTCACAAAACAAGCAAATTTGTTTCCTAAAGTTGTCTAGCATTCAAGTACAATATTTTTAAGTTTTTGTTTTAAAACACTGAATTTGCACACCATTAGTAACTTATCCCTGTTTGGTTTTTTTTTAGTGAGTCCTTTCAGCTTTTCTTTCAAAACATTGGGTGTGTTTCTTCTCGGGTTTTTTTTTTTGTTGTGTTTTTTTCTTTCTTATCACTATGTATATCTTATCACACCCTGCAACAGAGTGAGCCTTCATGGCCGAGGTGGGGGTTAGGACGGGCTAGAGCTGAATGCACATGGTAAATTTTAAGCAGATGATAATGGGAGCTATGGGGAGCAGAGGCGGGCGGTGACGGGAGTTAGTTCAACGTTTGGGCATTGAGAGCGCGGGCCGTCGGTATCTGCTGCTGGGGGTTTTAGGAATGCCACTCGAGGCGAATAGGGAGCATTGTGCCGTACTGTGTGGAGGGAGTCATAATGGAAGTGGAGGGAGAACGCGCTCATTGTTCTGAGGAGAACTCTGGGGACACTGGGACTCTTTTTAAGAGGTCACTAAGGCTGCGTTGTAGGGATGGTAGGGCTGATCCGCAGGGACACTGGGCCCAGTGTGCCCATGAGGTTGCTCGGTGCCAGGGCCGACCTGAGCTGCTGCAGCTGGACCGACAGTCCCTTTCCTCTAATTGTCCTGTTCTCCTGTGACTTCAACATCCTTAATTAGTCTGTAAGCACTGCTCATCGATACAGACCCCCATAACAATTTACCTGTGGTGCCCTCCTGAATGCTTGGCAACCCCAACCAAGAGGGGCAAGGAAAAATTAAAAAAAAATTCTCTTTTTTTTTTTTTTTTTTTTGCTGTATCTTTCTTTATGCCTTATCTACCTCTCTTGACATTCTGCTCACTAGATAGGTGGGAAGAAAAACTGAAGTTATTCTTCAGTCTTGGTTGTCTTTGTTTTGGTAGTTTTAAGACTTGAAGTATATCTCTGACTCTATAGACAGGTTTACACCAATAGACATTTCCCCCTCAATGCACATCCACCTTTCTCTGATGGCATGTTCTTCTGTATTTCTTGGGTTTCTTTACGTTACAGGAATGAGGGAATTTACTGAAAATAACTATTTAACGCTGAAAAACGGTCTCAAATTAAAGGTTGGATTTGTCATGAAGAGATTATACTACTGCAATAAAATAGCTATATATTTGTAAAGGGTTTTAAATAATGTGGGTTGCAATGTATATTTTATTTGAGAAAATTTCTAAAAAAAGTTTTAAAAATATTAATTCAGATAAATATCTATTTTGCTGAGTCAAAATGAAGAACGTCTGCAGTTTTGTTTTTTTTTTTTTTTTGAGCTCCTCTTCATGCCTATTCAGAAATAATTCACATTGTGTAACGACATCCTGTAATATGACAACCGTGGTTTCAAGTAGCGGGCGTGCTCAAAAATGAGAAGAAGTCCCCTGACGAGATCGTGGAACCAGTTTTTGTCTTCCAGGAACTCAACCTGGACAGAAGTAGCTTCCTGCCTTAATGTCCCAATGGGGCTGAGTGCTCAAAGAAATCTAGTTCAATTAAAATTCAATAACAAATATAAAATCCCACAAGCTTTCTGCCTTATTTTTACTTCTTACTATATGCTATATATAGTCATACAATGGTGGAACATTATGCCAGATCCGACAAGTAAAGTTTTACAAATGTATCCTGAACAGAATTTTTTTTTATCAACTTTTTTTTAAATAACAAACTGATATCACAATTGTGCTGAGAAGCAGTTTTGAAAACATCTACAAAAAATGTTTACAGTATTAAAAAGAAAGAAAACTCCATTTTGCTTGTTAACTGGTGTCAGTTAACCAAAAGTTTAGCATTTTGTGAAAGAAAGATTACCCACATTTGTTTGTGTGTTTCATGACAAAAAAAAAAAAAAATACAGCTTGTCATTGTCCTGTGAATATTTTGCTGTTCTAGACATAGCACTAATAAAACAATTTTTATTAAAAAAAAAAAAAAAAGTTTTTTGTCATTCATTGCTCTCCATACTTTCAAAATAACTAGAGATACGTCTTTGTTGGTCGACACTTTTACGTATTTTCCCATTCATTGTGCAGTTTCTTAAATCTGCAACTGGTCTATAAATTTGATATATTGTGCAGCTCTTTTATGCAGTCCGTTTTAATAATATAAACTTGCGTAACGCTCACAAACAACCTGATCTTTCGCAGACGGTGCATCAGAAAATGTATGTAATTTATTACACAGATGGTCAGAGTAAGGGTCTTAAGCTAAAATTGAAATATTAAATTTATTCCCAAAAGAAATATTTCTTTGGTACCAACTAGAGAGTAAACACTTACGCATTCCAACATCGCACATGCTCTTTAAGCTCTTTAATAAAGCTATTGATACAATAACTTTTTCTCAATTTGTAAATCCAGAAAAGAATCACTGAGAAATAAATACTGTTCTTTTTTTTTACTGTCACTTTATATTGTCCCTGTAGGGACATTTGCCTCATTGTAATTTGAAACATTTTTCCTTGAAACATTTTTCCATTTTTCCTTAATAGCATCAAATTAATCAAACATAAGATGGTTTGAATGATTGTGAAGAGATGAAGAAACAAAGTTCGGGTTATACGTTAGCATGCTGTTCTGGATCTGTAGCTTATTGTGGCTATTTTGTCTCTGTTCCTTCAGTCTTTTCAGGCCCTGGTGAACGACACAGCAGAGCATGGCTTTGTGGTGGTGTCGTTTGGCGCTGGAGTCAAGTATCTCTCCCAGGACATTGCTCACAAACTGGCAGGAGCTCTGGCCCGTCTGCCACAGCGTGTCATCTGGAGGTAATGCTCGCATGCACCCGTTCATCTGTCACAGAATAATGTTTGAACAGGATTTTTTTTTTCATATATATATATACACACACACACACTCATCATTCTTGATGTCACATGACGTGGAACCCCGTAATCAGCTATATAGCTGGTCAGGAGCATTGTAAAATAAAGGCAGTGCTTTGTCCCTCAGTGCCGGGTTGTTTGCTAAGGTCAGAGTCCGGACCCACCCACATGTACGTAATATCTGGAGTCATCTCATGCGCAGTGATCTCCTTTACATCATGAGACTTGCCTCTGCCGAACCTGATGACTTCCATTTTTAACAAAGGAACTATTTCATTTTAATTACTGCATCAGATCATAAGAGTATAAAAAGCTGGATTAGTTTAGTTTATTTTCTAAACTTCGTCTTTGCTGGTGTATTGTAACACACATGAAGACGGATAGCTACAATAATTGCCAATGTGCTTTCGTAGGTATGACTGCAAAGTAAGGTAGGCTTTAGGTAAACTGTGGGAATAAAAGCATGAGACATACACTGGCCTTTATTGTAAGTACAATATAAGAGAAGAAATAAAAGATTGAGAGTAAAGAGAGAAATGGAGGGGCTGTGATTTCAAACATAGCCTCTGAGCATGTTAATGCTTAACTCTTATCTTATGTAGTCATTGATTACAGAGACCCAGATCTCTGAGTTGTTCTGATCCCATACAGGATTAGGAAATTCATTGTAAAACTGACTGGCCTCCAGTATAATGTCCTCTCCCCAGGAATCCAACAGTAATACTCATCACTCTTCATCACCTTTCCACCAAAAATGTTCTGCTGACATTTATTTAGGAATATTTGTGAGAACAAACATTACCGGCTCCAAATTTAGGGACAACTTATATCGATCGTCATGTTTTCTTTCACCTTTGCTTTAATGTTCCATAATGAATTATAATCGGATTATAGATTAAGTTTTGTTGATGCTATATTTGTTAGTTAACATATATAACACACAATAAGTAAGTACCTATGATTAGGAAAAGTAATCCCACATTTTCCCTTCACTCACTTTATCACTTAGTCTTTTTTTTTTTAATGAACGAATCTTTGTTTAGACTCCACACCTCATGAATAAACACACAAGAAGCGGTGAAAGGATAAAGTTCAAAGTTGACAAACCACATTCCTAACTTTGTAAAGATAGGACGGACGACAGGGAAGAGAATGCCTTTTCTGTGCAGGAGATAAGAGAAACGATATATGTTAAACGTTTGGGTGTGATTTAAGAAGCAGATATCAATAATCTTGAGACTAGATGTGCAGCACATTCTTTCTGTTCTTTTATACGTATAGCAAGCTCAGTAGTTCTCATAATTAAGATGCAGCATGCTGTCTTTCTCTATTTTTAATGTAAATATGAGCTAAAAATTGGTGCGTTGTTTCTCTCCTTTACTATAATTTAGCAAACTAAACCACTGTTATTTTGGAAACTGGATTGCAGTTGTAAAATATCGAGAAGCTGATGTCAGTTATGCAGCACCCAGGGAAGTTGACTATTTCTTGTGAACATGACTCTGATAAGATTGTTTTTTTTTTTTTTTATCGTGCCACAGGAGAGAAGTATCCCAGTCACATGGAACACGACACCTTTTATTGCTCCCATTTACTAAATGTTCCCATGATCTGCATATTTACACAGCCAAGCCTCACATCCACATAATGGTCATGTACGCCTTGTTCAACTGCAGGGTAGTTTTTGTGTTGCCGCGTCACATTTAATTTCTTTTTTTTTTTGTTTTGTTTTACATACAATCAAAATTAAATCCATGAACTGATGCATAAATGAAGACAAAGAGAAGATTCTGTTTAAAGGCTTTCAGTGTTTATTAAAACCAAGAGGATGTAAGAGATGGAGGGCCAATGTGTTCGAAAGGGGGATCAAACCAAATGAATTGTTTCATTGATAAATGCCTCCATGAATGCCGGCTTTGATTGGCACGACAATGAGACGAGGCTTTGTTGACTCTGGATAAAAGACTTTGAGTCACGGAGGGAAGCAGACAGAGATGGACAGATGGAGGTTGTTTTGTAGCATGCATATGCATCGTTAACGGAAATGCTTTACACGCGCACTCTTTCACATCCACCGATCTCGCACTCTGCTTGCTTTCACACAATGACAAGTGTTAAGGGTCTGTGTCATGCAGTTCAGTCACTCTTTGCCAGTTCAACCTTCTCTAACCTTTTGTTTTCTCAGATCCACCCGTTAATGAAATTTGCCTATTTTTACTATTGAGACATTGTGTCCATTCCAGGATTTTTTCAGAAGAGCAGCATACTTTGATTAAACATTTCATTTGATAGTGGCAAACATAATAAAAAGTGCTCAGCTAAAAAGGTTTTGGGGTTATATTCCATATCCCTCTATTATGGAGGGATCGGTTTATAGTCATGATCAGCTCCAATGTGATCAAAGATCTGCCGATACCTGTGGGTTCTGGTAACATTGCGCAACACCTGTATGTATTGCAAAAAGCTCCAGTAAAGTTGTATTGATGAAAATACTGATGTGCTCTCCAGAGACTTTAATTTTCCCAAAAATGCATTGACTTCCCCAAAGAGAAAAGACTCAACATTTTATGGACTCATCAGACTTAAGATCTTTCTTTTATTCTCCAAGCAATTTGTCAGGCAACATTCAAACACTGTAAAGCTTTGTGGCTCAGGGATCATGGTATGCCGGTGTTTTTCATACTATGACGTTTGGCCGATTTGTTGTATACCAGGAATGCTTAATTTGAATAGCAGGATCATTAGTTAATGTCACGCTACATCAGCACCCACTTTCTGCACCTGTAGCCTGCAGAGAGAAAATAAAACTATATTACTCTTTATCTTTATCTGGTCAAAAAAAGCTACATGTAAAACAACAACCTTATATTTTAGCTTTAGATATAAATAATAATCAAGCACAGCAGAGTTAATTATTTTGATTTTACATTTATTAGATTTAGAGTTTAGAAATGGTAAAAAAAAAAATTATCATGACTACTTGATTTTTGCAATTGTTTTGAAATAGAAAAACCAAAAAAGCAAACCAAAAAACAGATTGGTTATGACATTATTTTAAATGATTTACCAGGTGCAGTTTGCAATATGAATAGTTGTTTTTTTTTCTTTATACATCAATCCTCTTCCCCTCAGAGCCACAGAAATTGCTGAAAAGACTGCTGCCATTTACAGTGCCAGTTAATATTAAACTCTAATACTTAGATGCATTCCATTCACATTTCCTTCATAACTTGGGAGTCATCCAGTTCTTTAACTAAATCGTTGTGAAACACTATTTTATGAACAATGTATTTGAATAGGCAGAATTTATTTTCTTATCCTATCGTTATCTAAAGAAAATAAATGGTGGTGAACACTGCATGCAAAATTTATCAATTTTCCATAGAGATTTTTTTTTTTTTTTTGGGGGGGAAAGAAGGAACTTCTGTAAATATAAAAAAAATCCACTCATTAATCATTTAAAAGCTTATATTTAATCAAATAAGATTATACCATTGTTTTATTTACCCACAAGCACCACCTAGTGGCTATTGGTGGAAAGAAAGTAGCTACAAAATGTTTAATATTGATGTCAAAATCCATCAAGAAAATATATACATGAAAACATTTGACAAAATGTAACATTTATTGCTTGTTTCATCATTGATGGCTGTATGTTTCTATGATGCAAAGCACTTTAAACTGCGTTGTTGCTGAAAATGTGCTGTACAAATACATTTGACTTAACGTGATACAAAAAATCTAACCCGAGTCCTTTACTCACTGATTAAATAAGATAAGTAGACACAGACAGTATCCACGGATCTTTCTGGCATTGTTTTATTGTGCATACATGGCATCTATTAACTGATGCATAAGCGACCGAGCTGACAGGCTTGTTAGTGGTTGGTCCATGAGGCGTGTGGTTATGCAAACAATATGACATCATGAGTTATTACTTTAGAACTTGCTTCTGGTGTGAGTAATGTATAAATATTTTCCTCCCTTTGTACATCGAGCCTCAGTGTGAGTGTATAAAAGGATGTTAAAACAACTGTGAACTTCATTGAATTGCAATTTACCTTGTTAAGAAGTTTTGTTAGCACTTGCAGTTTAATTATGCTGTGCACAGTTAGGGGATTCATTTGAATGGTTTCTCGTTTGACTGTACATGGAAACCTTAAAAACACTTGTCTAAATCTCTGTGTACTTTGAACAATATTTACCTTCTAGACATTTTGAATAAATACCTCTGCTTCAATTCTGAAACAGGGGTGTTTATACAAAAACAGAAGGAAATAAATTTTTAGTTTGTATTGTTAGGACCTTGATTTGTCTAAATCTTAGCATTTCTTATGGCTGAAAAAGTATATATGCAAATAATTTCAGTCACTCGCATTGTGTTGCATGTGCCACAGACATGGTGCATTTGAAAAATATTGCAGGTTGGAAATTAACCCCGGCCCAAAAATAAAAAAAAAAAAAAAAAAAAAAAAGATTCACCTTTCTTCTGTGTGTCTCTTCTGAACAACTTGTTTCAGTGTCGGGTCCTTTCACTATGATTTTCCTTGTCTTTCTTTTAGATTCTCTGGAGTTGCACCCAGTAACCTTGGCAACAACACCAAGCTTGTTGATTGGATGCCACAGAATGACCTATTGGGTGAGTGCGTACCATTTATATTTAGCCTGGTTTTGTGCACTGTGTTTCATGGTCCCTGAAAAGAGCATTTCATTGTAGAGTTGGCCTGAATTCAAAGTCCAAATAAACAGACGCTGTAAAACACTCTTGTCAAATGAGATTGGCAGCCTTGGCCATGCTGATAACTCTATGAACTATGGAAAAACACAGTGCATTGGTGAAAGAAATAAAAATAAAATAAAAAATCAAGTAATAGTTAAAATAGATTTACCGCCCAGCCAATAGATGTATAGATAGACAGCTGGATAATGGGACTTACCCGGTTGTACCTGATAGACGTTTCAGAGACTCATTAGCCACTTTAGTGGTGAAATCTAAATGCGAATGCTATCCGTGTTCTGCTCTAAAGATGTGTGAACAAAGGTTAGAAAATATTTACACATTTTCATGTTTGACCTTTTTCAAAGGTCAGAGTAAGTGACTCTGTTGACACAAAGGAAATGCATGTTTAGGTTTGCTTTGTTTTCATAAAGAGGTGATAAAATCAAGATTTTATGGAGAAACTTTTGAAATAATGTGTTTTTAAAATGTATGTTCCACTTAAAATGATGAGTCTCTGTCACATGCCCTGAGAACTGTAAATATTTATATCAAAACAGGAGTGCAGGAAACGCAGCATGTTAATAGTTACTAATAATTTCAACACCTATGCTTCCCACCATCCAGGCCATCCTCACACTAAGGCCTTTCTGAGCCACGGGGGCTTAAACAGCATCTACGAGGCCATGTATCATGGGGTGCCGGTGGTGGGTGTGCCTCTCTTCGGAGACCACTATGACACCATGACTCGTGTGGCAGCCAAAGGGATGGGAGTCATGCTGCACTGGAAAGACATGACGGAGAAAGATCTCTACGCTTCCCTCAGCAGTGTCATCAACGACCCCAGGTTGGACTGATTGGTGTTATCTTTACTCGTACATTTCTTTGTAAGCACCTCATGCAATGCTTTGAAATGTATTAATCTTTGTTTTTTAAATTTTGATTTTATGTGATAGACCAACACAAAGAAAATAATTGTGAAGGAGAAGAAAAGTTATTATACAAATAAAAATCTGAAACCACTTTTACAACTATTGATTTTGTTCTCCAACAAACATTTACAAACATGGCGTATGCAACAACCAGGGCCTGAAACATTTCAGGCCTGAGATGCTGAAACACTCTTCCAGTGAAAGCTTCAGGAGGCAGTGGCTACTGCCTCAGGTGTAGCCACTGCCCAAAGCGCAGAGAAGGCGTGTTTTAGTATCGCTGACACCCATGAGCGCTCCACTGTGGAGCGAACCTTCTGCTTCCTAAAATGCTGGCGGCAGTGTGTAACTTGTATTTGTCACGCCACTACCGTGGCTACCAAAGGTGACAGCTTTTCAACTCTCCACCTCACTCACATCAAGTTCTGCCTTGTCAAATTGTGTTTCTTTACTCATTTCTCTGCCGTTTCCATTGTTGACCATGAAATAACATTGGTTTGCTGACTCATTTAAATGCACCGACATTCACAAGGTAGTTTGCATTCGCCTTCCATGGTTGAACATGGGTGTGTAGGGGGGCCAGAAACTGAGGCGGATGCAGCAAACGAGTTGCAGCTGCTATGTATAAAGGTGAAATTGATTTCTGGTGTGTGTGCTCATGGTTTCATAAACCAAGATTTATTTTGGTGCATGCCATTTTCAGCTTTTGGGTGTAGGTAGACTTAGACCCGACGTAATGTTCTACAATGTAGCTGGCAGAACAAACTCCAGTGTTTAAAGAAAGCCAAAGGAGCTCGCAGTTGTGTAGTTTGTAACGGGGAATGGTGTTCTCTGTATCTCTTTTTTTTCATAGTCAGAGTTGTCCCCATGTTTTTGTTTTTTTTTTGTGTGTGTTTTTTTAACCCCCATCTCTGCTGTCCTCCTGTTCCCAGGTACCGCCAGCAGGCTCGTCTCCTCTCCAACATTCACAAAGACCAGCCAGGCCACCCAGTCACCAGGGCTGTGTACTGGATCGGCTACATCCTCCGTCACAGTGGCGCTAACCACCTGCGCTCGGCTGTGTATGAAGTGCCCCCCTACCAGTACTTCCTTGTGGACGTCCTTCTTGCTGTTGCAGCTGCCGGCGCCCTCATAGTGTTTTTACTGCATAGGTTGGTACGTCTCCTCAGGGGCAAGGCCGGCGACCACAGCAGAAGAGTCGACGGCAGCATGACCAATGGACACTGTCACTCTGAGAGCATTGCCAACGGGAAGCACAAACGCAACGGTTCCTTGAAATCCGAGAAGAAGATAAATTAGTGTTTCTGAATGGCGACGTGAGGAAGAAGTTGCCCTAAGGACTCAGTTCTAGGTTTGGTTCATTGCTTTGACAAAAAGCGTGGAGCAAAAGCTGTTCTTAGGTCTGTGTCAACGAGGCAACTGCTACTCAGAGAAGCACAAGGCTGTAGGAGGATACACTGCATTGTGTGGGGACAGCAAGGCATCGGGTGCTCCAAATCTGTTGTGTGTATGTGTGTGTTTAGATGAATGTTTGTGCTATGAGGCAGAATTAACAGAAAAAAAAAGAAGAAAAAAAAAAAACTATAACCACAGCTACAGCGAGACACCGCAAGTTGTTTTTTTACGGATGAAACAAAGGAAGGACACATCTATACAAGCATCTCATCTACTCCATGTTCCCTGCTGGCTTCCTCAGCAGAGGGAGGACCACCAAGCCTTCATCCTAGGAACAAAAGCAACAAATCAAACTGCTTTGGATTGATCCTGTGTTTTAAAGTGTCTGGTGATAACTGTAAACAGAAGAAAAATCTATTTATTGCTGCTCCAATGCATTTTAATGATGGACCTTTTTAACCTTGTCTTTATTGTTAATTTATTTCATCTGTCTGTCAGAGATGTGACAGCATGACGGTGGACGTACACTCCTTATTCCGAGATCGCATCTCTCTTTGTATTAGTGAAACAAGCAACTTTGACAGCAGCGATCGAGGATGAGTCAGAGCATCACTCATTTACGATTGTTGCTACCGTAGTCTCCCGTTTCTTCGTTCTGCTTCCGTAATCTATTTATCGCAGTAAAGATTTCTTACCCTGTTGCCATTGTCAGGGCTGCACTTGACTTTGTACATAATTTCTCCATTATTTAGTTGTTACTTAAATTCTGTGCACTAATTTCAACTCGTCACGATTGCTAGCCTTAAATTACTTTTCCCACAGTTTTACTTTGATAAGCCTGGAAGACATTGCTGTTGCCATCCATGTGCAAACCAGCAGACTTTATAGAACTTATTATAATTTCAATGCTTGAATGAAGTGCCTTCTCAAGGCTTTATGTAAAATCTACAGGGCTCTCCACATTATTGGCATCTCTACTAGATATCTTAAAGCAGCTGTTGAACAAATTATTCTTACGCTTTACCATAATAAAATATGTGTTTTAGCCATTCTTCAAAAAAATGTTTTATGATTATTTAGTAATCATTGACCTGTTTCCCTTTAGAGTATGTGTATGAAGTCACAGAGGCCTATTTCAATACCTGATGGTGTTTTTTTTTATTAATTTTACATTTAATTTCTATGTCTAAGAACTATTCATAGGTAATCGAAAACTTTGTTTCCCTGGAGAAACAACATCACCAAGATGCCATTTTCTTTTAGCCACTATTCCAAATGGTAAAAAAGAGAACATGTTAAGAAAATAAGTAGAAGAAAACTGCTGCTCATTCAAGCTTGAAAATATCAGCAGCAGAGACAGTATTACAAGTTTTAGAAAACTTAAACTGTGACAAACAAGGTCACTTAGGAAGGAAAAAAAACAAAAACATTAAGCAGCACATATGCTACTCATCCCAATCGAAGTTGACCAGTGTCTGTAAACGTCACAATAATGAAAGACTTCATACTTTCTAGGAGAATGTATACAGAAAGCAGGGACCTATTTCTCTTGGCCACTCTTCCAAATGGGAAAGGAACTATTACTATGTCAGAAAATGGGCTTTCGTTGCACCACGTTTAGCCCAAGATCATCTTCACACCCTGCAGTGGAAAATGTTGGTAAGAGAAGCATTACCAACATTAGTCAACAGTAAACTTTTCATGTGTCTGATTATGCTACTTGCAGTAAAAGATTAATTATTTTCTAACTTTAAAAAAAAAAAAAAAACTACCAGGAGGTGCCAATAATTGTTGAGTGCACTGTATGTTTCTCTGTCTTTTCTGTGTTTCGTCACACATCGTTAATCTTATTATGGGAATGAGATGGCTCTACGGTTAGCCCTATGAGATTCGATGACATTTTTGTTCTATGAAATTAGAACGTGCAAACAATTGTGTGTTTTTAAGCCGTCTTCTGTTACTTTTTTTTCCGTTTATCTTGTTTCTTGGCATTCCTTAGGAACAGCTGGGTGAAACAAGATCAAGAGAAGCCATAGTGTAAAAAAAAAAAAAAGATTCTTTTATGGTTTCTTGTAATGTGACACAAGCTAAAAGTATACATAGAGCTGGGAATATTCGGGCAATAGCAACCTCCGCTCACTGTAACACTTTGGCATCGGGTATAGTGTTTGCTTTCTACTCAGACTCATATAAGCTTCAATCACAGGTAGAAGCTGGGATCAGTGACACCCTCCATGCTTTTTGTAAAATATCCCTGAAATAAATTACTCTTTCATTTCAGTAGTATAATGTCACTGTGAACATTTTCAGAGAATCCAACCTTTAGGTTGAGAGCATTTATTCAGATGGGGGCCAAGCGTGTGGGGACAATTAACTGAATTACAGCTCCAGCAATTTTTGGCACCCCCAATATTTCCTTTATGATTAATTTCTATATTTGGTTTTGTAGCCCCAAACTTTTTGTTTTTCTGCAACAAACAAATCTGACGCAGAAGCCAATTTCTCTTCACAGTTGGAAAAACAACAGAACCTAACGGTAAACTAATCCAGATAACATGATTACAAGATGATGGCTAATCAGCTAAGTTCCTATGAAAACCCAATCAGAGCAATAATGAGAGAGGTTTTAAAAAAGCATAGAATTGCGACAGATGGATTGAAATGAGGATCCAACTTTTATGCAGAGTGAAAAAGACAAAAAGGGAAATAAAAATAAAAATTCTCCGACATCGACAGATGTAAAATTGCAGCAAATGTTCATAAGTTGTTCTTACACAAATTTAACGGGTGGCAATAGATTTTTTTTTTTAGGGTGCTGTAAGTATTAAACTAAAGAAAATTTTCATTTGAACAACATAAAATAACCAACTTAAAGGGGGGAAAACAACTTGATCTCTCTCTCTATCTCTCTCTTTCTCTTTCTCTGTGAGCTACATTTACACTTGCACCACACAAACCAAGCCCTGCTGAAAAACAACAGACTCTCATACTTGAATCAACTTGCTCAGTAATCATCTGTCATGATATCAGCAGTCGGGCTCTGGTAGTAGGTGGCGTTGCAGGTGCTACAACAGGCTATGAACAGGGTCTGAAGTTTAGTACATGTTTGATATTCCTTCCTTGTCATTGTTTGCAGTATTAATATTGTAGCCCCGACCTGTAAAAGAAGGCGTTGATATGTTTTTCTTTAATGTCTAGATTCACATCACTAGTCCTGTGAAGTTTGTATGTCATCAGCTTGAATACTGCCTCCACTGGTGCACATACTTTGCTCTCTTCTTGGACCTCTAATGTAAAAGTTCTCCTTTTGTCTCTGACGCTGTTTAGATTTTTGTTTTACCCTCTTTACGGGATGATATCTTTTTTTTCTCTTTTGTTCCCCCTCCACGCCGACTTCCATGCGTGTCTTATGTTGTAAATAGAATGTAAACAAAATACTAACGCTGAATAAAAGTCAAATATTTTGTTTGCAGACCTGATGGAAACCTTCTTTCCTATCTTGCAAACATGGGAGGCAAACTTTGGGTGTGGAATGTCGGAATGTGGCGTTATCTTCGCTTACAGTAAACCTGCAGAAATTATTCACAAATATTGCTTCATTGCAAGTAAAATACATGTGGTTTAAATAAAAAAAAGAAAAAAAAAAGTGGGGCTAAAAATTGTGTTTGCTCAATGAAAACAACTGAGTGTGACAGAATATTTTAATCTAACGCAACTTCGCCGACACCGAAAGCTAAAGCTGAGCATTTCGCAGAGCAGACTTTCTCAGCTCGTTGTTTCTTCTCTCTCCTTCACAGACTTCGTCTCTGCCTTACAACAGTTGAGGGTGGCAGCCTGTCAGTTCAACAAAGGCTAAATAGAGAAGTCATTGTATTTTCGTAACAGCTAAGGCACAGCGTGCAGCCCGACAGAATGCAACACTTAGCTTTGCAAACAAAATGCAGCCCTTAAATTCTGGGGGGGGGGGAAATTATTTTCTCTAAAATAAATGAGAGGCTTGTTTTACTCTGAATTTAAGATAAAATGTCTCAAACACAGTGATTCGCAAAAGCTTTGATACCCTCAAACTCTTTTACACGGCAACCTCAAGGCTCAGAATTTATCAGACTGATTTAGATTTTAGATTGTTTTATCTGATAAACTAACAGAGCAGTGGATAATTAGGAAGCAGGAAATGTGTAACCTCTACATATCTGAATATGTTCGCTGTCCTACAAAAAAAAAAAAAATGAAACCTCCTTCTTAGGCTTAAGCCTTCTCTTTCAGGATTGCCTTGTATTTTAGCTCCATCATCTTCCCATCAGGTCTCACCACCTTTCTTCTCCCTTGTCCAAAGCTGGAAGAAAGTATCCCCACAATTTTGAAACCTAAAGCTGCTTTGAATTTCTCCTCAACTGTCCCCCTCGCCTGTCAGCTGCGTTCCTTGGTTTTCATGATGTTGCTTGTTCACTAATGTTTTCTAGCAAACCTCTAGGTCTTCCAAGAGCCCCTGCTTTCACACACCGAGTTAAAGATGCACACAGATGGACTGTTACAAACCCCTGAAGACAATTGGTTCCTCTGGATTCTACCAGGTGTGTGAATACCAACACGCATTGTACTGCTCTGATCCACAGTGATGCACTACTTTGTGTTGGTCTGTCACGTACAATCTCAATAAAAATACTTTAAAGATTGTGATTTTAACATGTAAAAAAAACAAACAAAAAAAAAAACTATAAATATTCAAGGGATGTGAAACTACATGTTTCTTCTCTGGACTAAAAGCTGGTTTCCTTTCAATGTATTGACGGAAGAAATATATTTAACTTTGTGAGACGTGACAAGATGTTCAGTGGCTGCAGCTGCTGGAGCCCATCTTCGTTTGACAAGGGATGTCTAGGCTTTCTGTCGGGAACTGTTACCGAGCTGCAGGAGGCTTTTGAAGGTATCAAATGGTTGAATCATCTAAAGTGGCCCAACTGCGCACACACATGCACACAAGTCAGGCGGATAGAGATAGGCTTATCTAATGCTGTTTGCTCGTGCTGAGTGAGGCGGGGGTAACAAAACACCCTGCCTGGTACCTACTTCACTCACTGGCCCTGTTAATTATTCACCCAGCCTGGAGGGCCCTGTAGCCCACATACACACACACGGACACACACACACACACACACACACACACAGCAAGTCAAAAGCATCTGCAGTATGTTTAATTTACGTTCTTGAAGTTGTTTTCTTTTGTTGCTGCTGGTGGCCAATTCAGACACTCCTGTTAACTGAGACAGGAAGGGGCGGGGGCTGGGGCATTAAAGGTCTGGACTGTTAAAGAGGAACGTGATATCACAGAAAGCACAGAGGGCATCATTCATGACATCCTTCATTCATTCTTAGCCACACACCCCTCCTCACATCTTCTAAGTGCCTATTATCTGTTTTTTTCCTCCTCCTCAGACCAATTAAACACTTTGTGCGGAGCTAAGTGGACGCACATCGTACGGAGCGAGTAAAGTCCCGACTCCCAACAAAAGTCGGGACCTGCCAATAGTTTGACAACAGGGCGTGCTGCAGTCCTGCAGGGGGATGCCGGGCTTTAAGCGTTTGTGTGCATCTGTGTGTTTTATAATGCCCAGGTGATGTGGGCCGGTTTTGAAATTGTTGACTTAACCCAAATGGCCCTAAATGAGTGATGGTTTTCCTTCAGTGCTTATCTGTCTCTGTCGCAGTATATTCCAAGTGCTATACTTATAGATCCGGCCAGGAGTGTGTAATATTTCTTCAAACGGGTTTGACGGGACAGAAAGGCTGTCTCAGCATCGCACTGACCTTGACAATGCATGACAGCCAAAAAAAAAAAAAAAAAAAAAAAAAAGGGGAAAAATTTTGGGAGTTTTTTTTAAAAAAAATTTGGGGTTTTTTTTTAAAACTTTTTTTTTATTT